ACAGCAATATGAACTCAATTACTAACAGTGGGAATTTTTTTATAGAGAGCAGAGAGTAAAGTTACGATTTTCGTTGGATCTATTTCACAAGGAAGAATTGATTAAGAATAGGAGCAATTCTAGTTTGAGGCAAGGAAGGAGGATGTAGTAGGATTGGGAGAAAGACAAGATGTGAAGCTTCATTTGTGCTAAGCTTCCTAAACTTTCTCCAAATGAAAGGAACCACACAAGGGTTTCATCTGTACATTGCTCAAACTCTTGCAGCAGGAGTTACAGAACCCAGCTCTTGGCTGGTTTAAGGAAAAGTAAACAGATATTTATGGGCTCATAAACTGGTAATTGTACCGCTGGGTTGGCTTTAGGCATGGATGTTATCGCTTAAGGTAGCCGTTCTCAAAGTATGTGTGGGGCTTGGAGGTGGGATCCTCAACACATAACCATTTTCATAATAATACTAAGACATTGTTCTGCCCTCTCCCTCTTGCCTTCATAGATGTATAGTGGAGTTTCTAGTGACTGATATGGCATGTAATATAAAGCCTGAATACAGAAACAGAATAGTAAAATCCAACTGCTACTAACCAGCCATTAAAGAGATTTAAAATATATAGACAATGCCTTCTTAGTATATTTTTGAAAAAAATTATTTTTCATAACGTTATTTTCACATGTAAGGATTTCTTATTTATGAATAAATATTTTCAAATGTTTTTCTGTTTTAATTTTCTGATATACTAATATTGATAGATATAATCACAAGGCTGGCATGGTGGTCCGACCTGTAATCTAGCTCTGTGGGAAGCTGAGGCAGGAGGATTGCTTGAGGCAGGAGTTCAAGACCAGCCTGAGCAAGAGCAAAACCCTGTCTCTACTAAAATAGAAAATTAGCCGGGCGTGGTGGTATGTACCTGTAGTCCCAGCCACTCGGAAGGCTGAGGCAGGAGGATCACCTGAGCCAGGAGTTTGAGGTTGCTGTGAGCTAGCCTGATGCCTCAGCACTCTAGCCTGGCAACAGAGTAAGACGATGTTTTAAAAACAACAAACAACAAGATATAATACACAACGAACTTCTTTGGAGTGCTCAGTACTTTTTAAAAGTAAGCGGTTCCTGAACCAAAAAGCTGGAGAACTGCTGGCTGAACGTAAGGTACTGTTTGGCGCACACAAATGGTCAACCAGAACACTGTCTGCATATCTTCTTTAAGATTGTTTTTCTCAGGGTGGCGTCTTTCTCAGGCATGTGATGGCAAAGATGACTTCCAGCAACTTCAGGATTTTATCGTGAA